CTCCAGGACTTACGGATTCCTTTTATCTGTCTTGTGGCATCAGTAATCATGCAGTCATCAGAGTTATACTTTGGGGACTGAAATTTGAGATAATAAAAGTGATTTCACTCCTCAGAGATGAAAATGTGATTCTCAAAAACTGCTAGTGCAGCAGTGACATTAATAGTGTGTGTGTGCTTATATGTTTTTTACAATTTTTATGACATTCCTCACGTTGGACAAGTGGGGGAAATAAAGGCCCAGTAAAAAAAAAATGACCCAGAAAATAAATTCTCTTAAACTGTAAGAAAAGCAACCCTGATCAGCATTCCCAGAGGTCTTTTATCACTGACCAGGAACCTTGCAATGCAGATTTTTTTAGTTGAGGAAATTCCCTTTGGGCATTTGCTGTCACCGAACTGCACAACTCAGTCTGCAGACCCAAACAACTCTGAAGGTGACATTGTGTGCCAAACATAGCTGCACAGAAACAATACACTTGCAGACTGATTCTCACTCTACAGAACTTGAAGCAAGTGACTATTCCCACTTCAACACTTTGAAATTAATTTTATACATGGGGGAATACATCCCACAAAAAACCTGCTGGAATTCTTTGGACTGTGAAACATTACCATAAGTGTTGCTCAGAAATGTTTCAAGAAAGAACCTTTACAGATTGCTGTGAATGTGTGCTGTGAATGACCCTCTTCAGGGTCTGTTTACTAAATACAGTGTCACAGTTAAGACTCTGCTTCATGTTGTCACATGTGAACATATGTGAAACTAAACCACTGAAGTTTGGTCTAAAACACTGCAAATGGCACAATTACTCCTTTTAGCAATGAACACACCTTCAAAATCCTTCTCCCTTTAAATTTGTGTCTGTACTTACAAAGTGCTTGCTCTTGATTCTTGGCTTAACAAAAGCCTCATGTTATGCCCAGCAGCTTCCCAGTAGAGCCCCATTTCTCATGTAACATGTAATTACCAACAGCACCAGGTGTACATTTCCAGTGCTGGTGAATGAACAATTCCTGCTTCACTTGCATTTAGGAGGCCATTACAATTCTGTAGTACAATGATACGCTGAGATTTACTATTTAAGGTTTCTGCTTCCTATCAAAATCTCTTACACTCAGATATTTCAAACACACTGATCTTATATTTTACGCTGTATCAATCTCCTGTACAGACCAGGAAAGGCTTCCATTCTGTGCTTAGATAGAAGTGTAAACGAGGCTAGGAAAAAAAAATAAAAAAAATAAATAAAGGCTGGTGACAGAGATGGTAGAAATTTAACAACTCTAGTCTACTCTGTGATACTAAACACTGGAGGAGATTTATAGATTGCAAAAAACGAAATGAAGGCAACTTTTTACTAATTTAAATGAGAAAGGAAATTTATCAAACTAAGGGCTTGAATGCTGGCTGGTTTAACACAAATCTACTGAAAAACCAGAGCTCAATAACTGGACTCAGTTCAAATTATATGGATCCCTTTATCTGCAGCTTAAAGAAGCAAAGCTTCTTGGGGGAATTAGTTGACCTGCCCATGTAGACATAGTCTCTTTTCCAAAGTGTTGCATATTGATAGTGTTCTCCTCTCCAGCCCACCCTCCAGCCAAGTTGGAAGCCACAGAGGCATTTAACTCTGAAAATCAACAGTCAAGTCCCACCCCTATCCCAGGAGCCACCAGCCCATCTCAGGTCCATCTCCACAATCCCAGAGGGGCACAGAGCACAACAGCAGACAGGACCCAAATTAAGGATTCAGAGGAAGGAACACCCTGTCCAGACCCCTCCCAGGGCTGTCAGGAAACCTTCAGCCCTGGTGTCAAGGTGTGAGACACCCCATGATGAGTCAACACTGGATCACCTTTTGGACAGAGGGCTGTAACGGCCATAGGGTATGGTACATGTTATGGGAGCACTTTGGAATAGCACAGGATTTATGTGTGTCTAAAAGAGGAAATCAGGTGATTTGGGGAGAAATAAGTGTGAAAAATAGAGAGATACAGAGACAAAAAGGGCCAGCCACACGTAAATAGGTCAGAAGGCTTTTCTGGCCATGTCCTCCACCTGATCAATGTGGCCTGTACTCTCTTCTATTTTGTATTATCATCCCCCCTCCCTTTGGCCCATTATGCCGTGGCTGTGTAGGTTCTTGACAGACATTTCAATGTATAATGGTCAACTTGCAGTCAAAATAACGTGGTCATCTAGCAATAAAAGCAAGAAAAATGTCTAGTAAGAGGTAATGCATCTTGTTATGTATATTTGGAAAAATGGACATGCTTTTGGAAGCTTTTATTGATGTTTGAAATGAGCTTAGCATAACAAATAAACTCAGAGACATTGTTACCAGCCTGCTTAGACTGTAGTATGCTCCATCTTATTCAGAAATGTAAGAAAAGTCCTTGCTAGTCCCAGACATTATCTATTTTTCCACATTTATGCAGGTTTGTCTAACAGAAGTTACTATCTGTCCTTACATTTTTGCCTCATTTGTCATATTTACAATCATCCTATAATTTTTCTTCATTTTTTGACTGTCATGCATTTTACCTAAACTGATGTATTTTTAACTTCTCATGTCAAGCAACTTACTTGGTTTTTCTTTAGGTTTTTTTTTTCTATTTTTTTTCTTTTTCATTTAATAGTGGCAATAGTTTTATTATAGCTTTTCCTTGCATACATTGCTGTTCTTAGTATGACTTCCAGACCTCAACAGATGGCAACTGGAGCTCTGATGTGGGGAAGATCATATTCCTTTTATCAAATAATCACTGTGACATCTCACTTGTTCTGTGTTGATGAAGAACAACTATTATTTGGTAAACGTTTTGATAAACAGCTTTTCTTCAGTGTATCAGACAGAAAGTAGCAAGCATTAGGTTATAATTTGAATAGTAGAGACAATATTATTGTCTATCATTCATTTAAAATGTGTGCTTCTATGCCTTAATTTTTATGGACCATTTCTTTCTATTAAATTTATTATCTGGGACACACATTTTGTCATACTAAACAATTAAGTTTGCCTTCTGCTTCTAAAATAATTTAAATTGTTCTAACATTTTAATTAGGCAATCTATCATTATCTTCAAATATCTCCCAAAAGTATGGCTTTGATGCTACTAGGGCTATCCATAAGGATACAGCCAGCCTCCACTGCATCATGGGTCTCTTTCTCCCGTCTTTGTTTTAGAAAATGTGATAAAGGGACCTCTTGCAACTCATTTTAAGACTCTTGTCTGTGCTCAGTTTATTTCTTTTCCTTCTAAATTTTTAAGATACAGTTCAATTAAAGAATTTTTCATATTTCAATAATAGTTTCTTATGTTGTCAGCCAATTACCTTAGATTTATAACCTATCCTTCAAAGCTGAGTGTTCTTTCTCGTTTTGCTTGCTTATAGTGATGATCCAGACAGTTTTCCCTTTCCACTCATCAAAATTAATTCTTTCTGTGCTTTCAAAGACTCCAGTTTTGTAGCCCAATCAAATTAATGAATTTCTGTACTTTCTCTCAATTTAGGATCTCAATTTTTATGTAGTCTCTCAATTTAGTCTCTTAATTTAGAGAATTAAATACAGAGTTGCAGAATTGTTCATTGAACACCTTCAGGGGAAAAAAAACCCCATTAGATGATACTCAGTGTTGACAGATGTAAATTGGGGTAGATTTCAGAAATGATCCTAGCCTTCAATACAGAATAGTGGGCTCTGACCCCACCATCAGCTTCCAAAGGAAAAGGGGTTGGAAATTTTAATAAGCACTTTCATGAACATGTCAGTGCACTAATAAAAGAAAACAGAATGGAAGAACTGGTTAAGTAAGGGCAGAGAGTAAAGCAGAAAAATGTCAAACGCCACTGTATGAAGCAGTGGCATTATCACACCTTGAATATGGTGTCTTGAATCAGCTCTGGAGCCTCATTTTAAAGAGGGTGCAGTGGAATTGAGAAAGAACAAAGAAATGCAACTTGGATGAGTAGAGATGCAGCAAATGAAGTACTAGTGTATTGCTGCTGTAAACTAATAAAGGTTACCAAGAAATCATCATACATATTTCATATACTCACCTTTTCTGTTTGCTATCAAGTATCATAGTTAGATGAAAAAAGATAAAACACAAATGTTCATCTACTGAAAATTTTGGAAATAAATTTTTTAGATATGACTTAAATATATATATATGATAGGACAAAAACCAGCCTGATAATTGCTTAATATTTATTTGAAAAGGCACTTCATGTGCACCACTAAATAAGCTCAGAACCAGTGATTATTATCTATATGTAGGTTTTTCAATCATTACTTCTTGCTGCATTCACTGTTAGGGGAAAGAATACCTTGGATGTTCACACAAAGGAATTTCTGACCTAGAACAATCATTATAATCAATGCTCAAGGAAAAAAAGTCCTTCATCTGACAATGTTACTCAAAGTGACCTATTTTCTTTGCTTTATTATTTTCATTTCATCCTGTCTCCTGTTTCACAGCAAAGAACTTAGCAAATTTTAAATTGTCCTTCTCTTTGACCTGAAAAATTTGACCAATTACCAAATTATGGTACATGGTGGTATTTTTACAATCCAGAAAGTATTTTTTATACACTGCTTTAATATGCAAAATGTACAAAGTAATGCTTCTCTAAGCAGAGGAAAAATCAAACTACAGGAGAAATCAATTTATCCAAAGGAGCTCTCACTTGAATCTCTCAGTTTTTCTCCAAGTGATTTATTAAAACATCAGATGCCACCTGGTATTTCCCAGCTTCTCTGAGTAAACTCTCCCTCTGTCTTCCTTTCTCTGGCTGGAACTTTTACGAAACTACACATGGGAAGTCTGATCAACTTAGCCATTCTTTGCCTGTGATTAGATTTTGGGTTATGTTTTTAGGTGGGGAGGTGGAGACTTTCAGTGTTTTACCTTCAAACATTCTGACATGTTTCTTACCACAGCTTCTATGAATGATAGAAACCACAACAAATGCATGAAGAAAATGTTTCTTACCATCACTGCAGACAATGCCAGACCTTCCATATGGACACAAGCAAACAGCATCTTGCCTGGACTTTGGAAAACACGTAGCACCGTTTCCACACGGATTTTCATCACAAGTTGCAAACTGGCAGAGTTTTCCAGTGTAGAGTTTAGGGCATTCACAATACCAATTTTCTTCATCACTGACAAATTTAAATTAAAAAAAAAAAAACAAACAAGAAAGTCTAAGTGCCAAAATGAACTCAAAACAAGCATAATAACACTTAGAGAAAATCTGTGGCATCTCCCTTATGGTTGTAATAGATCTCTTTGTTTTTACTAGTGTTCCTGGCATTAGACATGCCAGAATGCCTTATTGGTGACTTGAGATGACAGTTTCTTTCGGGTTTAATTTCATATTTTAATTTTTTCTTTCTTTTGCTGGTGAGATATGTGACTTTTCCAATGTCTCAGTAGTTGTTTGTGCTGCTGCTTTCATAGCATAGTCAAAATAACTGCTGCAGAAAAACAGGTCTTCTATTATGTCTGACAAAATGAAAATGTGTGAGGACAAAAAATGAAAGTTACTAGTTTATTTTGCAAATGGAAAGATCATTTGTATGTTCAGGTACCACATACAGCTTGTATGTATACAGTAGGATGCAAAAAATCCTGAAATATGAACACTTGCAGTATTGACTATATTGAACCTGAAACAGAATAAACAGGTAATATCTCTGCTATCATATAATTTATGTTCTTAGTAACAGAAAGAATATTAGAATAGGCAAGGATAAAAATAAGTTGTAATCAGTCCTGAGGTCTGGCAAAACCGACTTTTAGAAATGTACACATCCTGGTTGTACCAATTTTTTTAAAAAAATATAGCATTCAAAGCAATGATAGGAAAACCAAAAACAAATAGGAAAACAAAAGAGTGCAAGATGTTCCTATCTATCACATATTATAAATACAATTTCACAAAAGGTCTTATTTGATTTTCCCCTTATATTATGGCTATAAATAGATGACATCTAGATAAGTCAGTTCATGTGATGGCTCAGTATTCATGTACATCCTCAGTATTGAAGAGAAACATGTCTGCCTTTTACTCAAAAAGGTCACACATACCCCTGGGTATGAATGCAGAAGACATGGTGCATGTTGTATCAAATCACACTCTTTGTGGTTTTCCAATAATAGCATAATCATTAGGATGAGCGCTGATAAAATTTCAGATTTCAAATATGATTTCTGAAAATTCATTATCTGCTCATAATATCCATGCAATCGGGTTAAAGAAAACAATCTGGAGCTGAAAGACCACCTGTATTTTTTAACAGAGGGAAATAAGTAAGTCTTGTGACAGTCCTTGCTCATAGCAGTTGATTAGTGTGTTCCTAAACTGACCACCCATGGAGCTGGGGAGTGAGGATCTCAGCTTGAGAGTCTGCCAAAATGAATCTCATGAATAATGCCTCCAGACACCTTTGCAAAAGAAAATTGCTATCAGCTGCAATAATAAATTTCTGTGTGTAGCCTATTCTATTTATAGATCTGCTGCAGACAGCAGGAGAGGAATCTAAATGAGATGCTGGTTTGCTTTCATTTGTACAGTGTTGAGAATCCTCCTTTCAGAGAGTTTAATATCGTTATACAGTTCAGCTAGTCGAAAAAAAATTAATAAAATGAATTATTCCTGGAAATCTACAATTGTTGGTGATGGTTTTTAGTTCTCAAATGTATTTCATTTTGTTTATGGAAGAAAAGGTAGATCATTGCTGCTGACTGCCATAAGACAGACTTTAGTCTTCACCTTTAAATAAAAAGAATTCATACATTCTTTCAATGACCTCTGCATGCCAACATTGGCCATTTCTTTTTGTAGTCTTTTGCTATTGTGGAGAAGATTAAAAATAGCAGATTTCATAACAAATTTCTCTCAGTTTATGGTTAACAAAATGAGCAATGTAATGACATTTCACTGTTGGTACTGTAACACTCTCATAACAAAGAAGAGTGATGCCTGATAAGGCAAGGAAAAGAGTTTTTAAAAAGTTCTACAAAATATTATCAGACTTGAAAATGTAACAGCTAACCACAGACAAAGAAAATGATCACATCCATTTCACAAGAATTACTATACAAAACTCCAATCTTTCAAAGCACACTGCAACTGTACTAGGTTAAGAGAAGGACAAGATCTTCCATATTCTACTGGATTAATCTCAAATGCAAGAAACACATAATGCTCAAATGACCAAGAACTTCTCCCAAGTAGATTTCACAATTTCATGGTGGACTGCCACCCTTTATAAATGCAAGAAGCAAATGAAAGGGACCAGAAAATCAGAACAATGATATCTTTTGCCTGTGCTGTACACCTGTGAATGACTCCAATTAAAACATATTACATAGAGGATAATTACATACATGAACTAAAGAAAGTGAAAAATAAGGAAAATACCAGAATTTTGAAGCTGCAGAACAGGATATAAATTTGGAGTGTTTTGCTGAAATGTGTTATATGACCATATTAGTGTTTGAGTTCAGATCCAGAGCATGCTTCTGCAGAAAATCTTCTGGCTGTCCTCTGTTGAAATGCCTTTTTCCACATTGTGTCTCTAGGGCATATGAACTGAGTTTCTCTCTGAGGAACCTGCACCAGAAGATTTTCTCACACCTCAGGTTGCTTCAGCTGTATGGACTTGGCATTCAGACCCAGACCAGGTCTAGTGTGTGTCAAAGCTTCTTGAAACATGAATAATGAGGTCCTCAGCACTAATTGCTGTGACCTGCAAATATATGCCTATTGAACTACTTAACCTACTAATATGGATGCAATTTTATAAGCCAGCAAAAGAAAATCATGTGCCCATGGTATACATTACATACCAAAAAAACCTCAAGATTTTATACTAGAGAACTGAAAAACTCCAGGAGGAAACAGAGAGAGGAAAAAAAAACCAACAAACAACCCTAACTACTCAGAATCATATGAAGGAAGAAAGACAGAAACAGTTAGAGAAAATGGGAGAACAGACATAAATAATATAGAAAAGGAGTGAGACAAGACTATTTCTAGAGCACCATCACCTCATGTCTCCAAGCTTAATATACAAGGAAAAAAGATGTAGGGAAAATGAACTTCTCCCTGACATTCTTATAATCCTCTGAAATGGTAAGGGTCATATTTTGTATTACTATTTCCCATGTTAAAATATTCCTTTGATCTTTGGTTTAGATATTATGTCGGAAAGAAAGTCACCAAGTAATATTTGTATGGTATGACACAGTATTGGTAATTCAGTAATACAATTTCTCTTCTTGAATCAATGTTACATCAGTGACCTGATTTAATGAAATCTATAGGATTGACAGCTTTGGGATGCCAACACAGATTGTGGTAACTCATTTATTTTGAATATTGGGCAATACAGAGGAGACTGGATTGCAATACATTATTAATCCAGTCACAGCTGTATTTAACCAGCTTTTAAAACCCTTCCTTTGACTTAAATAAATTCTGTTTTTGAAAGAAAACACTTTACATAGTGTCACAGACATCATCATCTACTGACACAGCATTGTGTTTGCCCAAAGCAGAGTATAATTTTCTATATTCCTGTGCTTTTTCCATCTCTAAAGTGGGAGTACAAAGGAAGTACTATACATGCCCTCTCTGTACTTTTATGCAAGAGGCCTTCCCTGGAAGGAAGCACACTCAACACCCTTTAATCATGATGTTTAAGATCCCTTCCAACACAAAGCATTCTATGATTCTATGGTTCCATGGTTACACTGTGTGTCATAATGGGTTCAATATTTAATGACATACGTTCTTTTAGTGCCCTTATTATATTATCTGTAACAAAGCTATGGAAGTTGGAGGGAACAGCTCCTTCAGCCAATAAGTAGTAGATGTAATTCAACTTATTTTCAAGTTCTTACTGTTATGTTTTCCTAGCACTCTTTTGTTTTAAATTACTGGAAAATGAAAGGACCATCATACTTTTTCAGTTTAAGCTTTAAGTTGAATTATGCTTCATGCAAAGATTCATTAAATTTCTTTCCAGCATAATGTAAAGCAATTACAGTCTTCATTTGAAAGCTTTGTGTAATAGACAAATTCACAGAAACTCACTGCAGCCAGAAGGATAACCTTATCTCATCAATAATCTTAAAAGTATCAAAGGACAACATATAAATGAGGCGTTTCTTCCTTGTGCACGGTAGGTGCTTTTCAGTATATAATATATCTGCCAATCTTTCCTTCTATTATACAGCTCCCCAAATCAATTCAGCTTTCATGCTGCTTTAGTACTTTTCACTCAGGTTTCCTCAATTACGGTATCTTGTCTAGCTCTGAATGCTTTTGTTATCTTTACTGTTTTGAATCATTTTTTGCCCTGTCTGGAAGCATTATTCTGCAAGTTCTATCAGTTCACTTTAGTTTGCTTTTCCTTTCACTGAAAGCATTGCTGTATTTGGTTTGTGTGATCAGGTTTTGGTGGTGGTGGGGACCTACAGAGGTGGCTTCAGTGGGAAGCTGCCAGAAGCTTCCCCCATGTCCGATAGTGCCGATGCCCGTGGCTGTGAGATGGACCTGCCACCGGCCAAGGCCAAGTCCATCAGCAATGTTTGCAAAGCCTCTGGGATAATTCAGTTAAGAAGCAGAAAAAATGCCCTGGCAGCAGCCCATGATGGAGCAGGATCCTGGCAGGACCACAGCCCTGTGGAGTGAGAAGCCATGCTGAAGCAGGTTTGTTGGCATGACTTGTGGCCCTGTGCCTTGGGACACACACTGGAGCAGTTCCTGAAGTACTGCAGCCCATGGGCTGAAGAAGTTCATGAAAGACTGTTTCCTGTAAGAGGAATCTCACACTGGAACAGGAGAAGAGTGAGGAGCCCTCCCTTTGAGGAGGAAGGAGCAGCAGAGGCTTGTGATGAAATGACTGCAACACACATCCCCCACTCCCCTGTGCCACTGTGGGGGTGGAGGCATTCTCAGGAATGAAGCTGAGGCCAGGAAGAAGGAAGGGGTGAAGGGAAGGTGATTTAAGATTGGGGTTTATTTCTCTTTACCCTACCCTGATTAGATTCGTAATAAATTATTTTTTTCCCAGGTTAAGCCTGTTTTGCCCATGACAGCCTTACCCACGAGCCTTTTGTTATATCTTCTCTCCCTCGTTCGGCTGAGGAG